AGGAGGCTAAGTAGCCATCCTGTTGGATGGAAAAAGCACCTTGCAGGGGCTCAGAGGAGGGACTCCCACAGCCAAACCCACACCCAGTGCTGCTCTCTGCACGCGCAGGGATGTCCCTTCTCAGGGCCACAAGTACTGCCTCCCAGTGGGCTCTTGATCCCACTCAGAGTGGTCTCCTCCTGTGCCTACACCCCCTCGCCTCCCCAAGGGAGAAGGGCCCTGCTTCTCTGGCCAGCCTGGACGCCCACTTGCCGTGTAGGATCTGAGGAATGGGCTGCTGCAGGCAAAGGGCTGCCATCAGAGAAGGACGCCCAAGGACCCTTCCAGGGAGCTGTGCACAGCACGAAGCCTCCCATGATCCTTTCCATAGCATTCTGTACCACAGATCACTCTTAAAAACAAAACAAAACCAAACAAACGTTCCTCCCTCAGCTTCAGGATCTTCCCTGTCTTCTGCCTTTCCCAGCTTTCTTCTTCACTCCCTGGCCAATCCTTCTCAACCTTCCTCCCTGACCTCTCTCTCCCTGCTCTCCCATAAGTGTGGGTGAAACTTCATGCTGTCCCTAGTGCTCCCTTCCTGTCACTCATGGACTGTACTACACACACACACACACATATATATATATATATATATATATATATATATACCCCCTCAAACTACACTTTTACCCCAGACCTCTCTGCTGAGGTATACCTGTTTGCCTCTGGATAACAGGACAGAACAAGAGCTGACATTTATTTGTCTTTAAAAAAAAATTATGATGATGATGATGATGGTATTCAGTATATTATGTTACATGCAACTCATGAATCACTGAACACTGCATCAAAAGCTAATGTTGAACTGTATGCTGACTAACTGAACAGAATGAAAAAAGAGCTGATATCTGAACCCAGTGCCGGCACTGTTCCTGGCACACCTACAAGGTATGGACATTTACTGCCCCCAATTTACAGATGAAGAAACTTGAACCCCATTGAGAATTGCAGTAACTTGCCTGGTGTCCCCAGGCCAGCAAGAAGAGAGGGAAGCGGGGGTCTGAACCCAGGCAGTGGATTTCAGTCTTTAAGCTGAATGCCACACAGCCGCTGGTCTCTGAGATATGGGGAAACAAACTCCCTGCATCGCCTGCAAACCAGGGCGGTGATGGGAGAAATCCCAAGTGACCAGAAAGTAAGGCCATATAGCATCTTACTAAGTATGGCGTCTTGAGACTTTTAGTTATTTATTTAGAAAGCGTGTGCACAGGGGAAGGGGGAGTGAGAATCTCATGAGAAAGTCCAAGCTGTCTTTAAGCGAACTAAAGAGCACGTCTGAGAAGGCGACGTGGCAGGGCGTGGAGGGGGATCCGCTCTCAGCAAACCAACGGGACCCGGCTGGGGCGGCTATCGAGAGAGGAGGCCGTACAGTGACAGACACCAAACCAGAGCACAAAACCCTAACTTGAGGTCGAAAGCAACAATTCCGAAAGTGTGACAGGCAGGCCCAGATCACGGAACCTCCTCCCTGTAGCCTTTGGAGAAGAGGAGAAGACACCAAGAACGTGGGAGACAAAATGAAACACGCAGAAATGAGATGATGTGAATGCGAGATTTGGAAGTGCTGGCTGGGGGTGGTGGAAATAAGAACTGAAGTGGGATTTTCTGATGCCAATATTCATGTTTGCCTCGTTTTTTCAGTAGCAGCTATAATCAAAGTTAACAGTAAATGAGCATTCCCCACGTGTCAGAATTTGTAGGCCCTGACTTATAGAGTCAACGAATCTGCATTACAGAACTGGCCGTGCTATTAATCGCCTTATTTGGCAGATGCAGAAACTGAAAGCCTTCCTAAGTGTATTTTATAGATGCAGAAACAGAGGCTTAGAGAGAAGTCTCTCTAGTAAAATTGTACCGCTAGAAATGGCAGATGTGGAGTCCCAACACAGGCCAATAATCACCTGTTCATATGTTTTCCACCCTTCCCCCTCCCCCCCAGTTAGCTCTTTGAGGGCAACGACTTGGTCTCATTTTTCTTGACCCCTCTAGAACCTAGCATAGTACCTGGTACACAAGAAATGCCCTTGAAACATTAGCTTGGGCTTGTAGCCGTTCGAGGCAACCCGTGTTTGCTGAATGAATAAGTGAACAACCGAAGGTACAAACTAACAAACAGTTCTCTTGTGTGCTAGCTATGAATGGCTCCCCTGGATGGGGGCTGGGTCTCAGTAGCAGGGAACTTTTGAGGTTTTGTGAAACAGGGACATTTTGAATGGCAGTCCCAGTATCTACCACAAGAGTGGAGAGATGACCCACAGGGCAGGACCACATCACCGTGTTGGTTTTTTTCACACTTTGATCTCAAGAGGGAAGGAAAGGCACACTGCCATGGCCAGCACCTCTATGGGGACTGGGAGGCTTTAGGTGATAAGGTGGGAGGGAGGGCTCTTTTCAAGAGATAATGAAGCTGAAAACACAAAAGGGAGAATCTGAAGAAGGGATATTGAAGAAATAGATGCAGAGTTGAAGATCCAGAGAGAGAAATGGGAAAGAAGCATGTGGAGGGGTGTCAATGGAAGCCTGGGGTCTCTTGCTGCAGCCTCCAGGGGGGCCACCGGCGACACCGACGACAAAGCTGGCAGGAAGCAGAGCTGGGTATGACCTGTCTCTGGGGCAAGTGGCTGAGTGCAGTGGGCCACCGAGCTACTCTCTGTCTTGGCTTCTGGCTTGCTGAGCCTAAGAACTTCTGGACCCAGCAGACCAGAATTGGAGGGTAAGGGTGAAGGGAAGGGAAAGTGAAGGAGGAGGGTGGTGGGAGGGTAGCAGGCCATAGTTACAGGGAAGGAACAAATGCACGGAGTCCAGTTCAAGGCAGGACAGAAGAACCCCCATGCCAAGGGCTATTATGGGGACAGGCTCTCTGGGACAGCAGAAAGGCTAGGGCTCTGAAATGCACAGATGAGTCTGGGCATAAGGAGTCACAGGGACAGAACTCAACCCAGAGAAAAACAGGGGGAAAGAGAAGAAGTGGAAACAATGAAAATTGGAGAGCCTTGAGTTTATAAGAAACCGATACGGGATGTTCAGTGGAAACTGCTGCTATGGGGTTGGGATCAGAGAACTGTAAATATGGATACGATGTCAGTGCCATTTGTAACTTGAAAACTCTGGAAGGTTCCAATGAGATAATCCTTCTGAGGGTGCTTTGACAAGTCTGAAGGAAGGTATTTGTGGCTGAGAGGACAGGGCCTTGGATGTGGGATGTGCAAACCAGAGCTGAATTCCCTGGCACACGCGGTCCTGAAGGGCTGCCTTCGCGTCCCAGCCCCACCACAACAGTGGGTGGCCCAACACCCCAGAAATCTGTTCTCCCGGTGTTACAGGCCAGAAGTCCAAAATCAAGGTGTCAGCAGGGTCGCGCTCCCTCCTGAGGCTCTCCAGGGGGCCCTTCCTCATCTCTTTCATCTTCTGGTGGCCCCCCCAGTCTGGTTGTCACAACCCAATCCCTGTTCCACCCTCACACGAACCTCTCCCCGGGTCTCTGTGTTCCCTTCTTACTTGGACCCCATTTGCAGTTAAGACCTCATTCTTAAGTCCCCAGTGGACATGGCTTTGTTGGGGACACTTCTCTACCCACCAAGGTCCAAACATCAGGGAAGCAGGAGCACTGAACTTGTTTAAAATCTCTCCATATCCCTTCTTCTTCTTCTTCTTGTCACTGAAGGCTGGTTTCCTTCTCATGCCTCCTCACGCCCCTCGAATGGCTGCCGTGACCCCCAGGATAAAACCTGACCCTCAGGCTGGAGCTGCGGGCTCTGGTCATTTTCTTCAGTCTCTGCCGCTGGCATTTTCCCACTCCCACCCCCACGACCTCCTCCCTTTACTCAAAGCCCACTGACTCTCCCTTCACCTCCTGAAACCCAGTTGAAACCCCCTCAGAGCAGCTTTCTCAAAGGCCCTGTGGTAAATCCTTCCTGCTCTGAACACCCCTGGCAGACACAGCTTTCCCACTGCACCAACTCTGTTCCTGCCAAAATGTCTTCCCTTTCGCGTCATGATAGCTGCCCTTCCTGGTCACCTCGTCCATAAAGATGCCTTTCTCCTCTGAGCTCCTGAAACGTCTAGCATATCCCACCACGTGTGGGTCCATCGTGTGTTCATTTGATGGTCATTCGTTCACTCCTTTATTCACCAAGATTCGTGCAGACCTTGCTCTGTTTGGCCCTGTGCTGGGCTCCAGGCTTCTGCCCCTAAGCTTGTCTCATTCTCCCACTGGGAGGCAAGAAAACTTCTTTTTCCTCCTAAGTCTTAACCCAGTTTTTCAAGTGTGACACATACTCAATTTGATGGTTCTATTCAAATTGCTTTGTCTAGTTCTTAAAGGAAAGGCCAAATGTGGTACTTAAAGTGCGAGAAGCTTAAATGAGGCACTGAGACAGACCCCTCCGAGAAGCCCTCACAGGAGAACTAGTTTTGGGCTCTGTAGCCAAGGCTGGACGGGGATGGGCCAGGTTTTGAGCTGCGGCTCCCCTAGTATCCTCTGCACTTGCAGCAGGGGGAGGAAGCAGAGGACCGGGCTCCCTCTGCAGTGTGTACCCACGTGATGAGCGTGCTGTCCCACCATGACCTCTGCACAACCCCTTCAGAAGGCCTGCAGAGACCAGAAGGAAGCTGGGATATGTGGTCCCAGGTAGGGCCTCCCAAGAACACAGGCAAGGTCATGAATCTGGGACAAATGGCCAGCAGTATGGCCAAGGCAGGAAACTTCTGTGCAGACCATTATGGGCCCAGAACACAAATTACCTCCCTCCCTCCAAATTCAGCACAAAGGCCCACTGGCCTTTCTCCTGCACTAGACAAAAAGAAGGATCTACACCCCCACTCCCTGTGTCACGGGGGACATGGATGTGGGCAAACAGTGAATAGCACTGGTGCCAGATGCTTCTTGGACCCGGGTGTCTGAGATGTCCTGGGCAGTGCGCAGGGCTGTCAGGAGTTCTGAGTGGAAGGGGGTCACTCACCAGCATTGTTCTGCTGCTTTGTGTTTTTGATGTAGGCGGAGAACTTAGAGAAAATGTCAATGCCGGCCGTATTGGACTCCCGGTGTTTCGCAGCCAGTTTAGGGTACCTGGAATGGAGGGAGTGGTGTTCTAGAATCAGTGAGAACTTGGAGCTCCTTTCCCCCTTTCTAGTTTGATCTACAGATCTTTTGGGGATCTTACGCTGAACCTATAGGAAGGGTGGACACTCTCTAGGGCTGCCTATGGGGGATACAATCTGTGGGCAGGGAACCAGAAGACCCCTCAGAGGACCTGAGTCTCGTCCAAGACCACCATACAGAATTCTGGAGGTGCCCCTGACATTTCCCCAACCCGTACTAAATGAACTCTCCACTGCCAGCAGTTAGGATCATCCTAACTGGACAGAGCTAATTCTGGGAGCCAGGAGATACGAGGTACCTTGCCACCGAGGCTTTGAAGCTATTTCTCAAAAGAAAGGGTACCCCTGGTGCTCTTCTGAAGTAGCCTTCACACACTTCTTATTTGTATGCAGTAAGAGTGAAATTTACCAGGATCTCACAGCAGGACGAGTGTTTCTGATTACTTTATTTCCAGGCGTGGAGCTAGATTTGCAATGATCCAGCCTCTCACCTTGGCACAAGCTTTCATGTGAAGCCAGAAGAAGGTAAGAGGCAGACCCGAGTTAGGACAAGTTTCTATTGTCTCTAAAACCGAATGAGATACACTTGCCTGTGTGGGCATCCCTGCCTTCAACCCCTTAGCACCCTCATATTTTCTAGGAATGTCATTTCACAAAAATTTTATGGGTAGGGCCAGGTAGGGGTGGAATGAGATGAGGGACGGTGGCTTACTTATCATCATTATCAGTTATGTGGATCTTTGTGATCTCCGGGTGAATAACTGTCTACTGCCTACTGTTGGATTGCTTTGGGTTAAAATGAAAATACCTTTTAAATTTCCTTTAATGTTGTAAATCATGTGAATGAGAGTCTTTAAAAAATTATTTGTTTTCTTTCCTTTCCTCCCCTCACCTTCACTTTCTTTTCTTTCTTTCCTTCCTTCCTTCTTTCTTCCCTTCTTTCTCCCTCTCTCTCTCTTTCTCTTAATCTCTCTCTTTTTGGCTGCTGCTTTTCGATTGACCCAATAGCTAGCTAGGACTGACTACCCAGTCTTGTGCCTTGCTAAGTGACTGTTTAATTTCAGATATTGCCATCAGAGGACTCTTCAGAAAGTCACGGGGTCCAGCCCTCTGCCATTAGGCAGATATAGAAGGCATTCTGGTCCTCACACTACATGGAAGACAACTAGAGACCAGAGAGGTAAAATGGCTCTTGAAGGACCCACGGATCATAAATCATTGGGGGACCGTGAGAACCCGGCCTGCCCCCGGGGCAGCGTTCTTCCTGTTCCATCACACTACTGCTCTGATACCTGCGAAAGCTAACTTGTACTGAGTGCCTGCTATGTGCTGGGCACCGTTTTAGCCCCCTTACGAGTATGCATCAATTAGTCTTCACAATCCTGTTGGTACTCTGATCGGGCTCATTTCCCACGTGAGAAAAAGGAGGCCCAGAAAATTTAAGCCATTTGCCTAAGGTCACGTGGCTAGGTGGCAAAGCCAGGATCCAGCCCAGGCAGCTTCACTCTGGAAGCCCAGCTCTCCAGTTTGTGTTCTGTGGCCTCTCTTGGGCTCAGGTCTTCACCCTTAAAGGCCCACAGCCCTCCCTCCAGCTCAGCTGAGCACCATGAGTGCACTCTCCATCCGCCTGCAAATGGCACTCTGCACAGGTCGGCACGCATGTCTTCCTGAACATACTGGAAATAAGCAGATTCATCTGCTGTCCCTGGGGTACCAGGCAAGTTTCCTGCAAGATACTAGGTAAGCCAAGACCATAGCAATTTAAGATCATCCTTCCCCATTTTGGCCTTTGCACACAGAATCTGGCAGGCTCTCAGAACTGATTGCTTTAAATTATTATTAATAAATTCCAAGTGCTCTGTGCTCTTGCTTGGTAAGGTAAGAAGAGAAGGGTCTAGAAAACGCATTTTCAGTAGACTATTTGTTTGGGTTGGTTGTTTTGTTTTGCTTTATGCCATCATTTGACCAGACTGGCAATAATCTGACCATTTCTTCACCATCAGTGTGGACCCAACATGAGTAGATAGAACCAAATCTGAGACACGCGACAAGGGCCATGTGCTCAGAGAAAGCAGGCAAGAGCTGGCCTGTCTTCTAAGCGCTATGATTTCCTGAGACTTTACTGTACAGCTTAATGTCCCATCTGAAGTTTGTCTTTGTGGGAAATGCGTATCCAAATATTAATCTCACAGATTTCGGTAACTAGACTTGAGGAGGCTGCTCTACTGGGATGTTAAAGGTGTTCATGTTCGCTCCGTATTTATACCATATTTTGTATATGCATTTAGGTGGGCTACAGAGTACATTCTGTTTCTCTAGAACTCTGAGAAATACGTTTCATTCCGAGGAACATCTTTGAAATAAGACTGTGATGTGGTCTGATGACAAAGACGTGGTGAATTTTTCTTAACTCGGGAATTAGTGAACGGCAGCCCACAGGGCAGGTGCAGCCCAATATCTGTTTATATACCTCTCATGAGCTAAGAATAGTTTTTTAACATTTTTATTTTTATTTTTTTTAAAGCTTTTATTTATTTAGTTGACAGAGAGAGACACACAGGGAGCCCGATGCGGGGCTCGATCCCAAGACCCTGGGATCATGACCTGAGCCAAAGGCTGATGCTTAACAACTAAGCCACCCAGACACCCCCTTTTTTTTTTAACATTTTTAAATCACTGAAAAAAATCAAAAGGAGGATGGTATTTTGTGGCCTGTGAAAATAATATGAAATTCCTACTTCAGTAATCATACATTTTATTAGAACATAGCCACTTGCACTCATTGACATGTCATATATGGCTGTTTTCACTCTACAGCAGCATAGCTGTGACATAGACTCTATGGCCCCTGGAGCCAAAAAGACTTACTATCTATCCCCTTACAGAGAAGTTTGTTGACCTCTGCTCTAACTGATGACAATTTCTCTCCATTCTATTTTTAAGATCTCTTATTTCAAATGCATTCATCTTAGACTTACACTTAAGTTTCATTCTGGAATACAAAATAGTTGGCCTCTCTCACAAAAAAATTATTTTGTAAATAGTAGTGAAATATATATTATATAGATATATATGTATTATCATATAATTATATTATATATAAATATTATAATATATGTGTATTACTACTTATAATATATGTACCATATAATATATGTGTATGTGTGTGTGTGTGTGTGTGTGTGTGTATGCAGATGGAAGTGCTCTAACTGGCTTAGGGCCCCCACCGACTTCTCACTGACTAGCCCCAGGCCACCATGCCACCAAACACAAGGGGCCCACGCAATAAACCCAGCATGCATTAAGCATCCCCCATGGCCAGGTCCTGTCCCTGGTGTTGGGGATACACTGCAGAAAGAGAGATAATTCTGCCCTGATGGAGGGGCCTCTGCCGATCCTAGGGGCTCCCCTGGTATCTTGAACGTTGACCCTCCTTTTTCTAATGAGCTGAAAAGTTCTCTCCCTTTTCCTTTATTCCTGCTTCTTCATCTCATCAAGCCCTCACTTGAAAAGCAGGTTAATGCTTCTGACTCTTCTAATCCTTGGCCGTGTGCTTTTTTGTCTTGTCTCTGCTAATTAAGCAAATGATCCTTAGAGGTAGACATGGCCTGGCTTAATCATTAAGAGACATCCCTTAGGATCTGCGGTTTTAAGACAAAGGTCCTTAGGATTGCATGTGGAAGACCGTCACAAACAAGGTAGTGACTTAGCTTTCTAATACTTCAAGATATCGCTTCATGAGTTTTTTCCTCAATGTCCAGCACTAGGCTCAGTAGTATCATCTTTTATGACAATCCCATGAGATCAACATTACAATCATTATCTTACAGATGTGAGAATTAAAGATTAAATATCCATGTGCTTCTCTGCATTTCCAAGCTCTTGCCTCTCAGTTAAGTTGGGGTCATGCGACTGGATTCTGGCCAATAGGTTGAGAGGGGACGTGATATGACCACTCACAGACCTGGCCCTTAAAAACATTTGGCACAAACCTTCTTACTTTTTCTCTGCTGAAGGAGTCTTGGGGGTCACATATTCCAAAGGCTACAATACGGAAGAGGGCCATTCTGCCCACTTAGACTTGGCCAGAGTGAGGAATAAACTGTATTCTGCTACATTACCGAAATTTTGTGGCTGATTTGTGTGGCACAACCTCATGGTATGGATTGGAACGCAAGTCATTCTGACCCCAAAGTCCATCTTCTCAGCCACCACGTGATCCTGTCCTTGGTACTAACGCTGCTTCTCTACTTCCCGGAGGGTGAGAAGAAGCATTCCTATTTTTGTCAATTGTGAGATATCTACAAACACTTCTCAAAATAATAAATTCAAAGCGTCTTCCACTTCTGGCAATGTTCTGGACCCCACCTGTCCTCAGTACATACTTGCTAGTTGACTGACTACTTGCCGTAACATGATATATTATCAATCTGCCCTTCTGACTTCTTCTAACAGCATTTTTGCACGAGGGGTATTTTAAATAATAGCCAGCTCTGGAAAAGCACTTTGAGATCCTCACAGGATCATAGAGCTTCTGCTGAAAGGCATCTTAGGGACTACACAGTTCCACCCCCTCATGAGGAAATGGGAGAGAGGCTGACCCAAGGTTATCCACACTACGGAAAGGTGGCTAGAGTCTGTTCTCCTGCCTCTCAGTTCTGGATCCTCTGAGCTCTGGCCACTCTGTGGAGGTGAAAGGTGATCATAATCATAATCACAATGCTGATCCCAGTGCTTCCCTGTTGAATGGTAACCGGGCCAGTCTTAGGAAAGGAAGGGAAGTTAGTCTCATTTAGAAACTACTTGAGGGGCGCCTGGGTGGCTCAGTGGGGTAAGCCGCTGCCTTTGGCTCAGGTCATGATCCCAGGGTCCTGGGATCGAGTCCCACATGGGGCTCTTTGCTCAGCAGGGAGCCTGCTTCCCTCTCTCTCTCTCTCTCTCTCTCTGCCTGCCTCTCTACTTGTGATCTCTCGCTCTGTCAAATAAATAAATAAAATCCTTAAAAAAAAAAAAAAACTACTTGAGACTTCCTGAATTTCTTTTGACACCAAATGCTTTGTGGGACCAAATGTGATTAAAAAAAAAAAATGGTTGGAGTGGTTGCATGTGGTTTTTTTCCTTTAAAAAATAAAGCTAAGGGGAAAAAGGCTACCACAATTTCTTGGCTTTCTGGCAGTTTTTACAGTGGTGTGATGAGAAACATATGGCATAACAGCCTTCAGTGAAGAGTTCTGGGGGCTTTGCTGCCCCCTAGAAAGCCAGAAGGTCAAGCTGTGCTCCTACAGGGGCCTCCACTATGGGCCACAGGGGACTCTCTGCTCAAATCAATGGGCAGCCAGCTGGGGCTAGGGGTTTGTTGTGGGCAGCACAGCAGGTCTTCTTTTGTAAGGCCGAGGCACTGGCTTGGGGGCATTTAGTGGAAGGTAATTATGACCTCTGGCCCAGTATGACCCATACAAAGTCATCAAAAGGGCATTCTTATGGACTCCAGGACGTTGCCAGTCTCATCACTAGGCCCGCCATCTTGGTGGCATTCTTGAGACATGCATTTGAGCAGGTCTGAGGTTCTGCTACTTGGGTGTGGTGGACTGTTGCATCACTGACACGTTAGAAATGCATGAAGGAAAACCTCCCACACACCACTACAGTCCAGAAAAGGACGTAGACCAGAGGTAGCAGAACTTAGGACAGGTAATGTGTGTGGAGGGGGAAGAGAAGAGGGAGTGTCTGTGTCAGACACCAGGTAGCTCTATTTGGATCATGGCAACTTTTTGGAATCTGATGAAATGACGGTGGATCTGATGATGGTTGTCCTCTGGAAGAACGTACATGTGCACCGGGGGCATGTACCCTCTGGGGATCTCCCAGGCCCTCTTGGTCCCACTGTGGATGTGGGGCTGGACATCCCTGAGGAAGAAAAAGAGCCTGGGAAAGGCACAGCTGGTCAGGGTGGAGAGAGCCTGACTAACGTGGGCGTGAAGAACAGGAGAGTCTCTCCGGTCATCCTTTTCCACAGGATGGGACAGAGGCTTCGAGCAGAGAAGGAACATTCAAGGGGGCACACCACATGGCTGGTGGAACTAGGACAGCAGGCGTCAGGCCCGGGGGCTCAGCCCAGTTCTGCATACCTCCATCAACTGGCCTGGCAAAGGACCTGTGGGACAGCCTGCTCCCCACCGCTCCCATTTCCCATTCCCCACTGGCCTAGAGAGTAGTGGTCACTCCTGAGCATGAGTATTACTCCTCAGAGGAAAGTAGCTTCCCCCTGGACAGTCCCATCCCGGTCCCCCATGCATGGTCTAAACTGCAAACAGCATTCATTTTCTCTTATGGGCTTTCAAAACCAGCACCAGCAACAAGGCTGAGTCGCAGAATTGGGGGATGGCACCAGAGCCCTCCCAGGATACTTTCAGCACAGTGGCTGGCTGGCGTCCTGTTTGGGGATGCTGTGGCTTCTGGTGGTGGCTGAGATGGTGGTTATACCCTCATTTAAAGTCTACATTCAGCTGCTTCCAATGGGCCGGAGGCAGCTTTCCACTCTAAGTGTAAAATTAAATCATCCTAAGGTGGATGACAAAGAATACTTTTTAAGAAGAATGTATAAACGTTAAGGCTTAACCAGAGCATGGACTGGGAATTTTAATTTAACAGTCACTTGTTAGAGATGTGACCTTGGGCAAGTGACTCAACCTTTCAATGCCTCAGTTTCCCCAGCTGTAAAACAAGACTAGGTAATATCTATCTCCCAGGGCACTTGAGGACTATAAAAGTATTGATAAATAAATATAATTTCTAAATAAATACAAGATCCATTTATTTTGGTTTCCAGTGGCCCAATCCCTCTTATTTTAGGTGCCGAGTAGATACTGATTCTTCCCCTCTGCCCCCAATTCACGGTCACTGCCTTAGTTCAGCCACATGGCTTGTCTTTTGTGACCATCACCAGGTGGCTTCCACTAATTGATTTCTTCACCTCCGACTTTTCCCTCCTCTGCCTTGCTCATCTTCCTGCTCCCCCAAAGTAAGCCTGAAACCTGAGTCTGAACACTTTTGCTTCAAACTTTTCAGTGGCTCTCCTCTAGGGTGGAGTATGTGTGAGACTTACCTGTATGGAATCTTCCTCTAGTTAAAACAAAACAGTGTGTTTGTTCTAATCCCTGATTATGCTAGAGTATGAGGAATGAGTCTAGTTTCCTGTAACTTTCAGAATTCATTTTCCTTCCCTCTGCACCCATTTTTCCATCAGGAGCAGCTGGTCGACCAGAGAGCCTATAGCTCCCCAGTCTCTTCCCCCACCCTCAAACCTTCAGGGCTGACTTTAGAAGAGGAGTCAGTTTTTTCCTCTTTGATTATGGGCTTCAACCAGACCTGATCAGATTTGTGACTTTATACTTGGGTATGGTTTTAAGTCATAGGGTTACTTCTCTCCTGGCTTACTCTAATTTTGTCAGCCTTCCAGCTCTCATTCTAAAACGAGGGAGACTTCGCCCTCGTTTAGGGGTCTTGTAGGCATAACGAACGGGGGAGGACTCATGTAGGGAGACGGAGAGGTGGCACCCTTCCCAGACTTCTGTTGAGGAGGTATATCCTGTTCATAGGGTTGTCCACTCTTGGAGATGGACTTGGCGGAGCAGTTTTAAGACTGGCAGCTCTCTGGGTTTGAGAAGAGGGTTCTACGCTCTGGACTGATGAGGCTCCTTTGGAAATCTGCCTCCTCGAAGCTAACACTGTGGTTCTCTAATTCTAACACGGAGCCACCCCTGCCCTTAGCTTCAGAAATAAGCAGCTCATTACTTTTCAGGAGCCAAAGTCTCCTCCAGGAATTCCTCAATCTTATTGACGTCTGTCTTCACATCCCCGTTGAAGGTCAGGAAGGGCGGATGGGTGCCAGGGGCAAGGTTGTGCAGGTCGGCCGGCTTTCTGTAGAGAGATCGAGATTCAGGAGGTGGCTTACACTGGGGCACCTCAACTTTGGAAGAACCTACAACTTATAAATTAGACTCCCCGGTTTGTCCAGCATGCCTCTCGGCAAAACAGACTTAGGTTGGGGGCGGGTAGAGCAGGGGAGGTTCGAGAAAGTTCTGAAGGTTTGTGGTGCGACACAGGAGGCCTGTCCTGCAGAAGTCATGAGAATAAGTCACAATGAAGGAGTTGCGTTCTACTGAAAAGCAGAGTGATGGCAGGTGGCCGTCTAAATGAGCGCCAAGATTTTAATACCCAGGGCAAAGGCTGGGCTCTGCTTTCAAAAGGTCCTTCGCCACTTAGCTTAACAAAAATGAACTCTTCAGGATGCCAAACTTTAAAAATCAATGAATTACATCTTATGTTTATACTAAGAGCTATCTTCTGTGTTGTTAAGAGTATATGCAACAGGAGAGAAAGTGGCCTTGGGGTCACCATGGCCCCAATCATGCCCAAGGGCATGCTTCCACGCTTCCACCAGGTGGTGGAAATGCAAAAGCACGACTGGAGCACAGTGAGAGAAGGAGGGTTGGCGGATGGGGGGGCAGGGCAGGGGCATGGGGCAGGAGCAGTGCCAAAGGAAACAGTAAGGAAGAGGAGGAACTACAAAGCACGCGTCCCTACGCCCGGCGGGAACATCAGATTCACCCCAAATGCTCTTGCCGAGAACACAACCCTTGCGGGAGTCAGGAGTCAAAAACATTGGATAGAGCAACTGAAGAAAAGTAAACAAGGGGAAGAGAAGTCTGTAATGAAACAAATTCCTGGCGTAATCAGTTTGGGAGGGGAAGGGAAGAATTTCAATTACGGTGCTACTCCCCTGTCGCTCCCTAAACACACATCCTCTCCAGCTACATTGTGTGGCACTTGGAACTCCTGAGACAGCTGGGACCCAGAGTGGTTTTAAGATCTCATCTACTCGGTCCCTTTGTTTACTTGGTGGGTGTCCCTCCTTTGGACAATGAGAGGACATTCTTTCCCTCCTCCTCATGTTTTTCAGAGCTGACACAAGGCAGAAGTGCCTGGGTTCTCAGCGGAGCGGCGAAATTTATACTCATTTTATTTTTCGGCCATTACCTCTCTGTGGCTTAAAGAAACAGAGTTCTCTTTTTTTCCCGCTGTGACTCAAGAGAACAGGGGCCCCTGGAGTCTGGCATCGCTTGGGGGGTGCTGCCTACGGCAGATGCTGCTCTTCCGGCCAAAGAGAGGCTGGTCAGCTGCGGACGGACCTCTCTCTTCGTGGAACCTCTTCAGCGTTTTTGGCTCAAATTATGCAATTCGTGTTTAGGTGGATAGGCCAGGTCTAACTGACGGACTGTTTCATCTGTGTCGGTCCTCTGTCCTGACTGCCTCGCCAGCTCCGGAGGGAAGGGACGATGCTAAGAAAGTCAGTGTGTCCTGCCTGCTCTGAGCCAGGCACAGTCCCACACGTACCTGCTCCCCCAGGCCTGCCTCACGACATCCCCACAGGTCCTCTGCAGACGAGGCCGTGCTCCTGTCCCCATCGTACAGATGAGCAAACAGAGGCTCAGACCAACAGAAGGACCTCGTTCCAGGTCACTCGCCCAACAGATGGTGGTGCCAGGATAAGAAACGAATATTCTCTGAAATTGCTGAACTTTGTCGTTTCGTGTGTTTTTTTTTTTTAAAGTCCTTAACTCTATCTCATAGATATATTTTCTTTCTTTGCTTTTGTTTCTTTCCTTTTCTAATCCTTTTTTAAAAATTTGTAAATTAATTTATTAATTGATTTATTTATTGCAGTAAGAAAGTTTCCTTATCTATTGACCTGGAGTTGGGCTATTGCGCAGCCCGCCTCCACGGGCGTTGGTGGGTCAGATAACAGATATGAAAGAGCAACATAAGCATCTGAGGAACGCTGAGGTGGCTTCCTTTCCCATTCCGATCCCCAGCCAAGCATACAAGCGCACTCCTGCCAATGATAATCCAGGGAAGGGAGGATGAAATCTGGGGCCTGGGCATGGTCTGTCCATTCAGGAAGGCAGGAAAGCATCTGGGAAGCCGAGGGAGCCTCCTAGCCAGGACTGGCCGCTATAGGGGACAGGGCGAGAGGGAGTCCAGCCTGACAGATGGGGCTAGGTGGCGGTGAGAAGCGTTGGGAAACAATGTTGGGAACACTGAAGATCGGACAAAGAGCTACAGGCGGGTTTATTCCACGGGCAACGGGAAGAATCAGGTTTTCTCAGTGGGGGAACCACATGACTAAAGGACTATTTTAGGAAGAATGACTTGAGGATAACATAAAGGATGGATCAGAGAGAGAGAGAGAGAACCTGGAAGGATGATGTCCAGTTGGAAGAACAAAGAGGCAGTCGGCTGGCAGTGGTGGGACCTGACCCCAGTGTGAGCTTAGGGAACAGATGAGAGGCCTCAGAGGTGAGCCGCAGCACATTGGGACAATGCCCTGCCTTTGGCGACTGGTTGACAAGGGAGGTGCAAGAAAAGGGAGCTGGAAATTCTCCAGTGCTTAGAAAATGGAAGAACCCAGGGATTCAAGAGGGGAGCTCAACTCAAAGGGGAAACGACAGATAAAAGTTTTGACATCTAGATTTTAAAGTGATAATAGAAAACGCAAGTGGAAATTGCTCTAGAGATTTCTAGATGGTAGGGTCCTGGGTATAGCATAATCTACATAAAGGTGACATGTAGAATATGTTAAGCTCACCAGGGAAGAAGCTATACAGGCAGATGCTAGAGGCTCAGGGAGGGAGCCTTGAGCTCCTCTGCATTGAAAAGACAGGTGGAAGACAAGAAGCAGGATATGGGCCTGAAATGAGTGGCTCTTGATAGTGAATGATCCCTGTTATTTTTAACAACCATTAAAAGTGCATGAGCAACTCTCCATCCCAGCCTATAATTCAGAATGCTCACACTAAGGAATTCCAAAAATGAGAGCAATTGAGGGGAGATGGTCAAATGCCAACAGCCTGGAAACTCAGGAGTCTTACATCTGAAGTCCTACTAGGGTCCTCCAGCTTGGGATACTAGTACCGCTGGAATGGCTGACTCCTGGATTTTAAGATACGTATGTCTATCTCTGGGCCACTCTCTGTTGCATATCCAATATCTATTCCTTCCCACTTTCTTGCTACTAACACCTCGTTAGTTTGGGCAGAGAAATGCTCAGTCCCAGGTCCCTCTCTAATATGTGGGGATGGGCCCTGAGACACATGGTCCATGCGGTGAGAGCAGGAGGCTGCTGGAAGCCATGGGCAGGCTTTCGCCCTCCCTCATAGAAAGTTCTCCGTTCGTGTGGCCAAACACATCCCTCCTTAACATGGCATTGTTTACCTTTTCAGATCCACAGTGGTGACATTGAACACAACGCCTTTCAGCCAGAGGATCATAAAGAGACGCTGAGAGAAGGGACAGTTGCCAATGCTTTCCCCATCGATTCCAGCCTAGAAAGAAGAGAAAGAACCAGAGTCCTAAATCATCAGCATGTGCATATTGGGAAGAAGGAATATACGCCCAATGGAGAACTGACTAAAACCATGACCCAACCTAACTTCAAAGGCAGTTGCCCTAGGTTATTGTCCTTTTCCTCAAGTCTATGCCAGGCAACGCCTGGCACACGGTAAGGACTTAATAAATAGGTGCTGGACTGAATTTGAGTTCCCAGCATGGCAACTATGTAGTTATAACTTTCTGAAACCATAGGACCCTACATCTCAGGATAGAGGGAGACCATCCACATCTCACAGTCTAACATAAATGATGTTGGACCAACTTCTATACCCCCAGGTAATCATCTAGTTTATGCCTAAATGTCTTCACACACCAGTAATTTGTATCTCTCAAAACACTCCATTCTGAGGGTAGTTCTAACCATTAGAAATGCTTTTCTTTCTATACCTAGCCAAACTACATTCTTCTCTAGTTTACTCTGTTGTACCCTTTGGTCCTTGCTCCATGATATATCGTGAGTAAAAAAAGTTCAGACTTTGACCCCATCTCTCTATATCTAGAAGGCAGACTCAAGATTTTAATCAACAGCCCCCTTAGTTCTGACTAGTACTTGACCTTCAGCATCAATAAGCCATCATTTGTTAAACTATCCCTTTTACTTGATTAATGCAAATTCACTCTCAATATGTACAAGGCCCTGGAGAAAATTACACAGGGGATTCAAAAAAATGCATTTAGCCAAGGAGCTTGTGGCCTCCTGTGGGGTTGGCTGGCAGATAGGGTTGGAACAATATCAGATAGCCCTCCTGAGTGCTTGCATACTTCTGCTCACTAGATTTCCCTTTCTCAGGACCATTCTCAAAATAGTGTGGTTTTTTCATTTTTGTTTTTGTTTCTGTTTTATCATTTGAAAGGCAAGCCTAGTTTTATTTCTGAGTGGGCTGCAGAAACATGAATTTTATAACGACTTCATTTTCAGCAAATGCATGAACAAAAAAAAAAAGTTGGGTAACTGATCTCTGTATAATTCATTTCCACAGAGTGGTTTATGGGTCCCTGACATGGTACTTAGGGGGAGAAATCACCCATTCACTCAAGTTCACTGGTGGCTCCCCTGGAAACCATGGCCCCATCAGGTGGCTGGGAGGCCCCTGGGCTTCCTGGCAAAGCTGGAAACAACTCAAACAACATACTGGAATGAGGGTTTATTAAGATTTTTTTTTAAAGAAGGAGAAAAAAAAAATGCACTCCCAAAATGCAACACAATATTTTCCCCTCTGAGGTTTGTTTTGCTGTGGCATTTGGACGGGGAGGGGCTGATGCCTTCTTTCATACATAAGAGTCTAATTGTATGCTTATTTCTACCTTGCAAATTGCTCCCAGCAGAGGCTCAGGTTTATCACGGAAAACTGGCGCCTTTGACGGTGTTGGTTGTAGGTAATTGCTATGAAATTACAGTTATTCTACCTCTCTCTTAATGATCCCCAAAGCCCCATCCTTATTCAGGTCTCGCTTTTCCTCTGTGCGGCAAACAGACCCACTCCTGAGCAGCTGAGACACCACAGGCTCCGTTATACAAAATCGGAAAGGTGGGAGGCCACATTGTGGGCAACACACCTACCCACAGAGCTAGAGTTACTGATAAAGCCTCACTCAGACAGGCGACTATTAATTTAATAATAGCTTGGTGCTCACTGGAGTTTATAATGTCGGCTCCCTAAGGCCTTCCCAAGAAGCACTCCTCAGGCACCTGGTTCCTGGTCATTTAAGACATCCTGAAAAAGGAAATCTTCCCCAGGGCTCATCAGAAGTGACAAGGAAAGAATTAAAAAACAAAACCAAAAGCCATATCCACCTACTGTCACCTACTTTGCCTCTGGTGGGGGTAGCTGGGTGGGGAGGTAATGATAAGGGAATTGAAGGAGGAACTAGTAAAATACTGGAATTCTAATAAGCTGGACAGAAAATTCATAGAACAACAACTCATGTCTACATTGTCAGGCACTGTTCAAAATGCTTCACATATAATATTAACTCATTTATTCCTCATGAGAAGCCCATGTAGTGGGGTATTAGCACCCTTTTGCAAGATGTGGAAACTGAGGCACAAAGAGAGGAGAGAACCGGCCTAACGGTCCCTGGTTTGAACACAGGCGATCTTGCTCCAGATCCTGCAGCCATACCCGGAGCCCAACCTGAGGCCACCAAAGAGATAACCTGGTGGCCCCAGATCATAGAGCTGAAGGTGACAGTGCTGGGACTGTGTGCACACGTCCCGCCCTTCCACCCCTGCACCCGTAGCTGTGCCCGAGGTGCAGAGGATGCTGGCTTTCACAACTTCCCACCTTTTCCCTATTGCCGTAAATCACGTTAGGCCCAGACAACTATGCTCTATCGTAAATCATGATGCTACCCAGGAAACAAAAATTGCCAAAGAGCCATAGAAATAACATTTGAGGATGCTCAGCTTCCTTTTCTTTTTCCTTCTTTTCTTTTTTTTTTTTCTCTTTTCTTCTCCGTTCTTGGGGTAAGAGCATTACCATGAGACCTCCCCCCAAGACGTTGTGAGTGGACCATACATGACTATGACCACAGGCACAGCGTGGGACAGCAGAGCTCTAGAGCTGATTCACCGGGCTCACCTGGAACTTTATTCCCGCTGAATAGCAGCTCCTCGTTTCCCCTCCCCCCAGCCCTGGTGACCACCATTCCACTTTTTGATTCTATGACATGGACTGTTCTAGTGACCTCCTACGAATGAAATCGGGCAATATCTGTCTCTCTATGACTGACCGAACTCATCTAGCATCGTGTGCTCGAGGTTCATCCATGGCGTGACATTTTCGGATCTTCCTTCCGTGTTAAGACTGAAGACTATTCCACAGTGTATATATAGCACAGTCGGTTTCTTTATCCATTCACCGGTCCACGACACATACGCTCCTCCCACGTCTTGGCCCTTGTGAACCCTACTGCACTGATGGGGATCGTGCCGATATCCCTTCAAGATCCCGATTTCAGGGTGCCTGGGTGGCTCAGTTGGTTAAGCGACTGCCTTCAGCTCAGGTCATGATCCTGGATTCCCCGGATCGAGTCCCACATCGGGCTCCCAGCTCCATAGGGAGTCTGCTTCTCCCTCTGACCTTCTCCTCACTCATTCTCTCTCTCTCTCACTGTCTCTCTCTCTCAAATAAATAAATAAAATATTTTTTAAAAAAAGATCCCGATTTTAGTTATTTTTGGTAAATACCCAGAAGCGAGATTGCTGGATCATAGGGAAGTCCTGTTTTCAGGTTTTTGAGGAACCTCCGTACTGTTCTCCACAGTGGCTACTCCCAACTGCGTTCCCAGCAACAGTGCCCCGGAGTCCCGATTTCTCTGCATCCCCAGCAGTGCTTGTTGACATGGGGGTTTTTGATGACAGCCACCCGGACAGGTATAAGGTGGTATCTCATTGTGGTTTTGATCTGCATTTCCCTGATGGCGAGTGACATTGAGATTTTTTTTGTATACCTGTTGGTTCTTAACGTTTCCTTTGGAGAAATGTCTATTTAAGTCCCTAGCCCACGTCTTAAATCAGGGTATTCCGCTGGGGTTTTTTGTTTTTGTTGTTTTACTGTGGAGTTGTTCAGCTTCTTTCTTTCCCCCTTCACAACTCAGCAGCTATGTGGCCCAGAGAAGCCCTTTCTTAAAGTCATGGGTTAAAGGAAGGGAGCTTGTGACAACCACTCAAAACACCAACAGAGAACGGGCAGGTGAGGTTCCACGGGACCCCAGGCCCTGAAAAGTGTGAGGGAAAACGTGTGGGCTGGGGAAGAGGCTGCGAACAGTAAATGCTGAAGGCAGGCAAACAAGCAGTGTACTAGGTTAAATAATGCCTCCCACACACACCAAATTCATATCTTTCCAGAATGTTAAGTGCGCCCTTATTTGGGTCTCTGCAGATGTAATCAAGGTAAGATGAGGTCATACCGGATTAAGGCAGGCCCTAAATATGTGGATGTGCTCATAAGAAGAGAGCAATATAGACACAGACCTGCAGGAGAGAGGCTCATGTGAAGACAGAGGTAGAAATTGGAGTCCTGCCTCTACAAGGCAAGGAACACCAAGGATCACCAGAAACACCAGACGCTAGAAGAGATGAGGAAGGGGAGCCTCCTCTGAGCCTCTGGAGAGAGCATGGCCTTGCTGGCACCTTGATGTCCAACTTCTAGCCTCCAGAATAAATCTCTGTGTATGGGAAAAACCATCCAGTTTATGGTGATTTGTTATGACAGCCCTCAGAAACAAATGCAAGCCAGAAAGTGTCAGAAAGAGCATGGTATACAGCTGGTGGCAAACTTTCCAAGTTCACAGTTGTGCTTTGCCATGCTGTGCCCATGTGCAGAATTACCAGCCAACTGTGACCCCAAAGTCCTTCCCCTTTCCTAGATATAGAAAATGTATTTACTGTAAGTTATACTCTACTATATATATACTAGAGATACAATAAAACTTCTATAATATATAATATTGCCTATGATAATAATAGAATTATATAGGTTGTATGAATATACATTATATTACTTGCCTGGTAAGTCATATTGTATGCTATGAGATAGTGCGTTTCATGTAGTCTTTCCCTCTAAAAGGTGAGCTTGGTTACCCCCCACACAAGGGCCAGGTTTTACTTACTTTGCCCTCAGTGCAGTAAGCACAAACTTAGTCGGTCCTGTTCCTGTTTGAGCAGATGTATTTTGAGGGGAGGATGGTATCGCACCCTATCTATGGCTTGAGTATCTCAAAATTGCAATGTTGGTGCTCTGAAGAGCGTCCCAGAGAAGTCTGGGTTGTATGACACAACATAGCAGCAGATCACGGATCTCGAGCCATCTCTTGCTGATTCACTGTGCGACCTTGAGTAATGAAGTCACCTTTGTCTATTGGTCTCTACTACCACACTTATAAATTCCTACAGTTTTGTGATTTCAAGTGACTAATGGAGATTTAAGAC